AAAAAAAAAAAAAAAAAAAGTCTGATGCTAACCCCTATAGTTAGTGTCAGATTCCATGGGTTAAAGACATGGTTCCGGCTTAGCTCCTCTAGCTCAGTGGCTAGGGTGCCAGCCACATACACTGGAGCTGGTGGGTTCGAATCCAGCCCAGGCCGGCCAAACAACAATGCCAACTACAACCAAAAATAGCTGTGCCTTGTGGCAGGTGCCTGTAGTCCCACCTACTTGGGAGGCTGAAGCAAGAGAATCACTTAAGCCCAAGAATTAGAGGTTGCTGTGAGCTGTGATGTCACAACACACTACAGAGGGCGACATAGTGATACACTGCCTCAAAACAAATTAAAGAAAGATATGGTTCCCAACAAGACTTCCCTCACTTTAAATGCCAGCTACAAGTTCAGGGGTCCTCAGACCACTCACATTTCTGAGAAACTGGCTACAAATGTGAAGAGTTCCTATGACACCGCCCCATGATTGGGAATTGCTAGAATGACTTACAGAACTTCAGAAAAGTGCTATCCTTTCTATTACCATTTTATCATAAAAGATAAAATCAGGACCAGGTAAATAAAGACACACAAAGAGCAAGGTCGGTAAGGGTCCAGAACACAGAGCTTCCAAACCCTCTCCCTGTAGAAACAGAACACATGGCCCTCCCAGTACACTGACGTGCTCACCAATCAGGAAGCTCGGCCAAGTTTTTAGGAAGGCATATTTACATAGTCATGATTGATGGAATCATTGGCTACTTGAATCATTTCTCACCCCCCCACCCACCAGGACTGATATGACTGGCTTTTAAGCCCTAATCTTCTATTCATACAGTTGGTCCTGACCAGCACCATCTTGAGTCATCTCCTTAGTATAAACTCAAGTGTGGTCTGAAAGTCCACCATGAATAACAAAGGCATTATCAACACTCATGGAATTCTAAGAATTAGAAACTCCCTCCCAGGAAGCCAGGACCAAGACCAAATTCTTTATCACCACCTTGAATTCAGTTTGGTGATTTAGGCCACAAGCCAGGAAAGCAGGCGTAGATATTGACATTTCCATGGGATAGCATCTCTCTTGATCTTGGCTTTAAATGACGGTGGGAATACCTCCAGGCATCTGAATAAGTCCTTGTCTAGTTGATCCGATCTTCTGTCTCTATTCTATTTTTACAGGTACACGTACTGTGGCCCAGTCAAAACAAGGTAGGAGAATTGGCTTCTTTATATCCTCAAACTCTAAGAAAATTCATGGAAATATGGCTTCCTACAACAAACAGTAGTCCTACAGGAGTGAATAATTTAGAAAGAATGGAATGATGAGTGATAACTAGTGCTTCCATTGTCACCCAGATGAGTGGCCGGTCATGACCTGTTGTGGGCAGCCTTCCTGTAGCTAAGCATTTCACTTCTTGCAGAAGAAACAAGTCCCTGATAGCTAGGCATGTGGCCTGTGAACCACCTGCCCTGGCATCACCTGGTAACATGTTAGCAATGCAGAATCTCTCCTCCCCAGAGCTACTGACTTGAACCTGAAATTTTAATAAGATACCTATGTGATTCATGTGTACATTAAAGCTAGTGAAACAGGCTTGGCGCCTGTGGCTCAAGAGGCTAAGGCGCCAGCCACATACACCTAAGGTGGCGGGTTCAAATCCAGCCTGGGCCCACCAAACAACAATGACGGCTGCAACCAAAAAAATAGCCAGGCGTTGTGGCGGGCGCCTGTGGTCCCAGCTACTTGGGAGGCTGAGGCAGGAGACTCGCTTGAGCCCAGGAGTTGGAGGTTG